CGAGGGATCGTGAGATATCGGGCTACAGTTGAGCAGCTCGCCTTCGGAATAGTTGATGACAGTGGTCTCCGAGGGTATCGTCTTCCCCAGCATGAGTTGAGACCACGAAGGGCACCATTTAGTTCCCGGAGCGTTGCCGACCACAGGGCAGTTGACAAGGAGGTCAGTCCGGTGTTTGTGCGACATCTGCTGCACGAGCTGGCCCCAACCGTCTTCGCAGCACTGCTTCGCGTCGTAGATCGGCAGAGCGGGACACTTCAAGAGGAGTCCCAACGCGCTGACTTGGTCGATATGGTGAGTACCGCGCCGGCTTCGTAAGACTTTGGCTAAGGCAAACAAGTCTGGTGGGTCCCGCGCCAGCACCTGCAGCAGACTGCAAACCCCGTCGTGGAACTGTGTCGGCAAGTCCAAGTCCTCCTTCCGAACCATGAACTCCTCAGGCACCAGCCCTCCGAGGAGCCAGTTGGAGGTAGTCTCCTGCATCGTCCAGACTCGGTTGAGCCAGCTCCTTTCGTCGTTGAACATCTCCGCGGTTACGCAGAATGGCCTACCGAGACCGCTGAAATACGTGATGACCACCTGCGATGGCTTGCACCGGAAGACATGTCCGATAGTGGGGACGTCGAGTCTCCACTCCTCCTGCCGCAACGCCTCTACGTTCTGCCATCTGTCCGAGTCCCAGCTGAGCCAGGTACGTCTTTCTTCATCCACCTGCTGTCTCAGACAAAGCACGTCCAACCAGACGTACTCGGCGCCCAGGTTCAGTAGCTCGATGCGCACGTGGCCGAGTTCGACGTCGCGGGGAATAGGCAATACCCACTCAAAACCGTTCACGCGCGTTCTGATGAACTTGCGCTGTCTATCATTCACCCAGCTGTGCGAAACCGCCCAAAGGTTCCTCGGTATGTCCTTGGAGAGGAGCACCCAGAAGGGAAGGACGCGGTTGCTGTACAGGTCCCATACACGACGTGGTGGGGTGCGGGGCTGGACGATGAGGCCTCGGTTAGAGTCGATAGCCCTCTTGCGCATCCCGTAGTCTTGCCGTGCGCCTCTCTCCAAACGACCTTGCAGACGGTCCACGTCACAGAGCCACCCGCGCCGAACTTCGCCATAGACCCTTCCAAAGTCGCAGTCTGCCCTTTTCACGTAGCTGCCGAGCAAAGAGGACAAGTGGCTGTTCAGCCGATACGTTGTACCGAAGACCTCGTTGAGCTTCTGCAGAAGACCAGAGACGCCGAGAGACGAGCACGGTGTATCCGCTAGCTCATTCTGTATCGCGCCTGTGCCGTCGAAACGTGTCTGAAGGGGGCATTGTGTATCGCAATTCATGGGTGTGACGGAGTAGAGTTTTCCTTTCGGGAATTGCCTGAAAGCAGAGAGAGGGGCCGCCGGGGTCGAGTATTTCATCATATCCGCTAGCTTCCAGACGCCCTCCAGGGATCCGCAAGGCTGATCGTCTCTGCCCTGCTGCTCTCCGATACTGGGCATAGTATGGACCTTGCAGTGAAGCCCAAAACTGACACGCAAATCGAGAGGGAGTTTTGGAGACGTCGCAAGCTGCGAGACGCCTTGGGAAGCGAGGTCCTTGGCGGGCTTCTGGAGATACTTCCACAGACCGAGAGACGTCAACGAGCGGGGAGGTTGGGAGTCCGAGGCCCTGATGTAGCTTACGTTCGCATTGGGAGGTGCTGTGAAATGGTACGAGGAAGCAGAAGAGGAGTCATCGGCAACGCTGATTGGAAGGTAATCCGGGATGGTGGGCTGGCGATCTGCGGGAGCTCCCGCGGGCATGCTCTGTGGGGGTGTAGCTACGCAGAGTGTGGCCTCGGTGGCCAGCGGGGAAGGGGAGTTTTCGTGTATTCGATCCGATATGTAGACCTCCATACTCGGATTGAGGACCTCGTCTTCATTCGAGAACCACGGAGATAAAGGTGTAGTAGGAGAAGCAGACTTGCCACGGTTTGTCGCCGGCTGCGCCTGTGCCGAATTAGGGGCCAACTCAGACTCGTCAGGCCATACCAGCGCGGGCTCCACAGGAAGAGAAGGTGGCGGCGTCGGGAAGACTCCATTACCTGAATTCGGTCTATTCTGCAAGTTGATTGGCTTTCTATCGGGGGACCTCCTTCCGTTCCTAACAAGCAGCTCTGAGGGTAAGATAGGGAGAGAATGCTGAGGAGGTACGGGCAAAGGACGGCTGTTGAATGAAGTTTTGTGCGCCAAATACCAAGGGTCCGCTCTACGAATACGGTATCCGTCCGCGCAGTCTTCTACGGTCTCAGAGCTCCTGGAGAGATTAAAGAGTTCTGAGTC